CAGCTTATAATACTATGTTTGAAAATACATGGAATAGCTGCCTTTGCCATGTCTACTGTGAGAATGAATACCATTCTCAGCAATCAGACTTGACATTCCAGAAAATGGTGACATTACTCTGAAGGGACACATGGTTATTGTGAAAGGCCCCAGAGGAACCCTGCAGAGGGACTTCAATCACATCAATGTAGAACTCAGCCTTCTTCGAAAGGAAAAAAGAGGCTCTGGGGAAACAGAAAGGAACTGGCTGCTGTTCAGACTATTTGTATTCATGTACAGAACATGATCACAGGTGTTACGCTGGGCTACCCTTACAAGATGAGGTCTCTTATGCTCACTTCCCCATCAACATTGTTATTCACGAGAATGGGTCTCTTGTTGAAATCTGAAATTCCTTGGATGAAAAATATATCCGCAGGGTTCGGATGAGACCACATGTTGCTTGTTCAGTAACTCAAGCCCAGAAAGATGAATTAATTCTTGAAGGAAATGACATTGAGCTTGTTTCAAATTCAGAGGCTTTGATTCAGCAAGCCACAACAGTTAAAAACAAGGGTATCAGGAAAATTTTGGATGGTATCTATGTCTCTGAAAAAGGAACTGTTCAGCAAGCTAATGAATAAGATCTAAGAGTTGTCCAGCTACGGAAACAAGATGCCAGATGATTCCTAAGACCTATTTGTGTTATTTAAATGATGTAAAAGACCTATTGATTTGTAAAAAATAAAAATACATAGAACAGAAAGACTGGTAAATAGACATTAACAATCTTTGGGTAGTGAGCTGTGAGCAGTTTGTTCTTTCATTTTTCAAGTTTTCAAATATGAGCTACTTTATGATGGATGAAAATAAATGTTGGGCATATTCTTCAGCTAACTATGAAATATTTATTAACGGAAAAAAAAATGTATAACCCATCCAATAGTGTAGAGCCAGGATATATGTTTTCTTAGTCTTGATAGTTACATAAGAAAATATTGGGGGCTGGGCACGGTGGCTCATGACTGTAATCCCAACACTTTGGGTGGCTGAGGTGGGCAGATCACCTGAGGTCAAGAGTTTGAGACCAGCCTGGCCAACATGGTGAAACCCTCTCTCTACTAAAAATACAAAACTTAACCAGGCGTGGTCACAGGCACCTGTAATCCAAGGTATTCAGGAGGCTAAGGCAGGATAATTGCTTGAACCTGGGAGGCGGAGGTTGCAGTGAGCCAAAATTGTGCCACTGCACTCCAGCCTGAGTGACAAAATAAAGGGGGGTACTCCCTTACTAAAGGCAGGGACTATGGCTTAAAATTCTGTGGCTGTGATACCTACCATATGCTTTACACATAGGGAGGTCCAGGAAATAACTGCTTGAACACAGAAACCACTACCCCTAGCTTTGAAGGAAAGAACTATATTTTACTAGTTGTAAATCTTTGGGTTTGGTGTCCTTAAGGTAATTACCTGCTTGAGTGTTAGCTCACATGAAGTGGGCAAGTTGTGTCCATTCTTTTTTTTTTTTTTTGAGACGGAGTTTCGTTCTTGTTACCCAGGCTGGAGTGCAATGGCGCGATCTCGGCTCACCACAACCTCCGCCTCCTGGGTTCAGGCAATTCTCCTGCCTCAGCCTCCGGAGTAGCTGGGATTACAGGCACGCGCCACCGTGCCCAGCTAATTTTTTGTATTTTTAGTAGAGACGGGGTTTCACCATGTTGATCAGGATGGTCTCGATCTGTTGACCTTGTGATCCACCCGCCTCGGCCTCCCAAAGTGCTGGGATTACAGGCTTGAGCCACCGCGCCCGGCCTCTTTTTTTTTTTTAATTTAAGAGATGGTATCTCACTCGGTCACCCAGAAGTGCAGTGGTGTAATTGTAGCTTACTGTAGCCTTGAACTCCTCAAACAGTCCTCCTGCCTCAGCCTCTCAGGTAGCCAAGACCACAGGTGCATGCCACTATGCCTGGTTAATTTTTATTTATTTTTAAAATTTATTTATTCATTTATTTTTTTGAGATGGAATCTTGCTCTGTCACTCAGGCTGGAGTGCAGTGGTGTGATCTTAGCTCACTGCAACCTCTGCCTTTTGGGTTCAAGCACTTCTTCTGCCTCAGCCTCCTGGTAGCTGGGATTACAGGCGTGCACCACCATGCCCAGCTAATTTTTGCATTTTTAGTAGAGACGGGGTTTCACCATGTTGGCCAGGCTAGTCTCAAACTCCTGACCTCAAGTGATCCACTCACTTTAGCCTTCCTAAGTGCTGGGATTACAGGTGACAGGCACCACACCTGGCTTAATTTTTTTTTAATAGAGATAGGATCTGGCAATGTTGTCCAGGCTGGTCTAAAACTTCTGGCCTCAAGCAGTCCTCCAGTCTCAGCCTCCCACAGTGCTAAGATTACAAATGTGAGCTGCGATACCCAGCCCATTCTATGTCTTAATTGTAGAACTAATAATTTTGGATAAAAGTCCAGGCACAGTGGCTCATGCCTGTAATCCCAGCACTTTGGGAGGCCAAGGCAAGCAGAGGTCAGGAGTTCAAGACCAGCCTGGTCAACATAGTGAAACCCCGTCTCTACTAAAAATATAAAAATTAGCCAAGCATGGTGGTGCACACCTATAGTCCCAGCTACTCGAGAAGCTAAGACAGGAGAATTGCTTGAACCCAGGAGGCGGAGGCTGTGGCAAGCTGAGATTGCACCACTGCACTCTGGCCTGGGCAACAGAGCAAGACTTTGCCTCAAAAAAAAATAATAATAATAATTAGGGATTTTAAAAAGCCAATTTTTTTCTTATTAGGGATAAGACAAAATAATAATTTTTGTCTTATAATAATAAAAATAATCATAATTAGGGATAAAAAGCCAATTTTTTCTTATTAGAGATAAAAAAATAATTTTTGTCTTATAATAATAATAAAAATAATAATAATTAGGGATAAAAGAAGCCAATTTTTGTCCACTCATTGCTAATCTTATTATTTCCTTACAGACAAAAATTCATTATCAGTTCAAAGCATTAAACAGTAATATTTTTAAAATTCAGCTGGCCAGGCGTGGTGGCTCACTCCTGTAATCCCAGCACTTTAGGAGGCCGAAGCAGGTGGATCACAAGGTCAGGAGTTCAAGACCAGCCTGGCCAATATGGTAAAACCCTGTCTCTATTAAAAATACAAAAATTAGCCAGGTGTGGTGGCATGCACCTGTAGTCCCAGCTGCTCAGGAGGCTGAGGCAGAAGAATCGCTTGAACCTTGGAGGCAGAGGTTGCAGTGAGCCGAGATTGCATCAATGCACTCCAGCCTGAGTGACAGAGCAAGACTCTGTCTCAAAAAAAAAAAAAGAGGCCAGGCAGGGTGGCTCATGCCTGTAATCCCAGCACTTTGGGTGGCCGAGGCGGGCGGATTATGAGGTCAAGAGACCGAGACCATCATGGCCAACCTGATGAAAGCCGGTTTCTGCTAAAAATACAAAAATTAGCTGGCATGGTGGTGCACGCGTGTAGTCCCAGCTACTCAGGAGGCTGAGGCAGGAGAATTGTTTGAATCCAGGAAGCAGAGGTTGCAGTGAGCCCAAATTGTGCCACTGCATTCCAGCCTGGCGACAGAGCAAGATTCTGTTTAAAATAAATAAATAAATAAATAAATAGGAATTCAGTCCTTGCTAATTCATTATTAGATCATCAGAGACTACATGTGTATTAGATATAACAGGTACTAATGTAATATTTGATACTGGATTAAATAAATGAATTAATTTTATTGATTATAGGACTTTAAATAATGTCCTGAAAATCTACAGAGGAGGAACTCATGAGTAAACAGGAGCTAGACTATAATGAATACCTTTTCTAACCAAGACCCAAGAAAATTAAGGATTTCTGTAAGACCTTTCAACTTGTGATTTTTGTGGGCCCAGTAATTCTTACGAATTAAAGATCTTTCATAGTTCTGATACATGATTATATAACATGTTATAATTTTTCAGCTTTTGTTTTACTTAGTAATATCCATTTATAGCTTAGTTTAATAGTTGGTACATGAAAGTAATTTGTGTATTTTTCCTTATGAAAAATTGAGTATGGGCAAGCTCACCAAAGTACTAGATTTCTAAAAACCCAAGTCTAGACCTCTGAGGAGTTCATGTGCACACAAGCCGGTGGGAAGTAGAGAGAATAGGGATCAAGTAACTGGCTGGAAAGTAGCTATAGGGTAGAAATCAACAGATCTTTAGTAGAAAGGGATTTCAATGAAAGGCAATAAAATCATAATATGGAAAAGTCATGTCTAATGATTTACAAATTTAAAAAGCAGTAGAATCCTTTGTTAAAATCAAAACTTTTGTAGAATACCAATATTATAAATATATAAAGGTTGGGCTGTTTGGGTTGAAACAAGGTTTGACATGTATGTATAGGAAACAAAATGCCATCCCTCTTGAGCCTCTCTATCTCTATGCTAGTGGGCCCTACAGAGTACAGTTTAAAACAGCTGAACTAGACGGGGCGTAGTGGCTCACAACTGTAATCCCAGTGCTTTGGGAGGTCAAGGCAGGAGAATTTCTTGAGGCCAGACACTGAAGACCAGCCTGGCCAGCATAGTGAGATCCCATCTTTATCAAAAAAAAAAAAAGTAGCCAGATGTGATGGCACACATCTGTGTTCCCAACTACTCAAGAGGCTGAAGTAGGAAGATGCGTGGGCCCAGGAATTCAAGCCTGCAGTGAGCTATGATCGCACCTGTGCACTCTAGTCTGAACAACAGAATGAGACCCTGTCCTTCCCACAAGAAAAGAAAAACCCCTCTGCAATGTAGCCTGACAAATAGGAAACGTTAAGACATTAATATATAATAGGAAAGCATTTTCTTCAGGCTTTCAAAGACGTGAAATTGTTATGGACTGTTTTCTTACTCCTTACCAGAAAAGAGTGCTTCACCATTGAGGTGCCTGCTAGAAAAATCACTCCACTTATTTGAGAATCTTCCCTTGACCTTTTGTGGTGCTGGCTTTGTGTTTTTTAGTTGTTGAATGTCGTCTCTCAACTAGCCAAACAGAATCTGCGCCTGCTGGTCCTAGGACGGAAGCATATGTTAAGAAAGAGTTCCCAGTGGAGAAAGGATGAGATGGAAGAGGTACAAAAGCAAGCCCGCTGTTTTTTTTGCTGATAACATGTAAGTGTTGAAGGTAATAGGTGAATTGTATTGTGCTCCAGACATCTGCTTGTTAGTTACCTAATTTAAAACCTATTTTTTAAATGCAGGTGTATATGTATACTCACTCTCATTAAAAAAAAAAAAAAAAGATTTGAGACAACTTATGAAACTAGTTTCTTCTAAAAAGAAAAAACAATACAGCTTCCATGGCAGGATAAACTTAAACAGATGAGGAAATCAGGATAAAGCAGAAGTGGAGGGAAGGTAAGTCAGGAGTGAGATTAGTACACAGAATACATAAGACCCTAAGTAGATTGTTTAGCAAATACTTGACAAAGAGGAGCACCTTCTATGTACTGGAGAAAGACAGTGAAAAAGACAAAGTCCCTGCCCTCTTAGAATTTACAATAAAAAGATAAACAAACAGGTAATGTCATTCCAGGTAGTGATCAATAGTATGGGGACAATAAAGCAAGGTAGATAGAAAGGGTTTAGGTAAGGGTTAGTCAGAGGGTAGTGAATGGGGTGGTCAAAATCGGCCTTACTGAGGTGGGCAAATTCAGTGAGGAGTGAGTTGAGAAAGGGGGAGGGGTAGTGGGAAGAACATCCCAAATAACAAGAAGTATTTTAAAAGCCCTGAGGCAGGCATAAGCTTGGCGTGTGCTTGAGGAAAGCAAGAAGGCCAGTTCGGCTATAATAGCAAGAGGGAAAATAATAAATTCTGAGATTATAGAGAAGGCAGAGACCACAATACAGAGGACCTTTAGGGTCCTGGTAGATAAGCAGGAGGCCTAGATTTTATTCTAAATATAAGGAGAAAATTGCTCTTAGGCTGCAGCTTCCCCGGAAGCCAAAGGAACATGGTAAACATGGTCACTAACAAAACCTGCAGTGGGCCAGCCACGGTGGCTAATGCCTACAATCCCAGCACTTTGGGATGCCAAGGCAGGCGGATCACTTGAGGTCAGGAGTTTGAGACCAGCCTGGCCAACATAGCAAAACCCCACCTCTACTAAAAATACAATTAGTCTGGTGTGGTGGTGCACACCTGTAGTCCCAGCTACTCGTGAGGTTGAGGCAGCAGACTCACTTGAACCTGGGAAGCAGAGATTGCAGTGAGCCAAGATCTCCCCACTGCACTCCAGCCTGGATTACAGAGTGAGACTCTGTCTCAAAAAAAAAAAAAAAAAAAAAACACCACAAACCTACAGTAGCCATAAAGTAAGAAGAAAACAGCTAATTAGGAGAAGTACATATCCACAACAGCACATACTTACTCTTAATTTACATTGAGGTTTTCATATTGTTTATGCTAACAAAACTTTATTTCCAACTTTGCTTAGATAGAGTGTATATGCCTCAGACCCAAATCTAGGTTTCATTAGTCTGAATGTGACAACTTCAAGATTTGTCAGTATTCCCTAAATCATTTATTATTTAAAAAGCACAGTGGCTCTCAATGCATTAAGCAAGGGGGAAGCTAACCTCTCAGCCAGTGCCCAAACTACATCCCTTTTTCAGGCTGGAAGATGGTGCTTCCATTTCTCTAAAGAGCAGGAGACCTCATGGCAACATTGACAGATTTCAGGCTTGGGAATTAGTTTACCCAGGTTGAGATCATGGCCCTGCCACTCCCTGTCTGGGAAAGGTTTTTCCTTTCTCTGTGTCTTCCTTATCTCCTGTGTAACTTTTATGGGGTTGTTTTAAGGATTAAATAAGATAATATGTGTAAATATCTCATGTAAAACTCTTGGCACAACACCAAGTACATGGAAAACATGTATGTTAGTCACTATCATGATCGTTATTATTTTTCTTATATGGAAGAATTAGATAAATTTGAAGTGTTAGGACCAAGAAGCCTGTTGGAAAGTGGTCTCACTGCTTGGTTTGGGGTCTGTATTTATTGCATCAGCTGAAATTCCAAAGTCAGTTGTAAGGATCGATTCACTGACCTTCTATGGCTTTGGATTTGAATATTTAAATACTTAACACCAAATTTGTTTTCCACTAATGTGCCAAAGAAGCTTTTCAAACGTACACTAGAGAAAATAGATTAGTGAATAGTGAGTCCCCATGTTGCTATTTTTGTTCCATAAACCCCACACATTTTTTCTTTTTCTTCTTTCCTGGAGAGTTATAAGGCAAATTTTGTCATTTTATAATTTCACTTGAAATACTTCAGTATAAAGTAAATTTTAAATGTCCTATGTAAGATCATTTGGATCAAGGCATAGGGCAAATCACAAGTTGCAGTCTGAATCTCCTAAAGCAAGGTCGTTAGTGTCATTTTTACAGCACATTTATTAAAATGATAAATGCCGGCCAGGTGCAGTGGCTCACGCCTATAATCCTAGCAAATCACAAGGTCAGGAGTTCAAGACTAGCTTGGCCAACATGGTGAAACCCCGTCTCTACTAAAAATACAAAAAATTTGCTGAGTATAGTGGTGGGCACCTATAATCCCAACTACTCTGGAGGCGGAGGCAGGAGAATCACTTGAACCCAGGAGGCGGAGGTTGCAGTGAGCTGAGACTGTACTGCACTCTAGCCTGGGCAACAGAGCAAAACTTCATCTCAAAATAAAATGATAAGTGCTAAGGTTGATGGTCTGTTGGAGGCTCTGAGTCACTAGTTCTTACCAAAGAAGATGATTTTGGATGCTGATCCAGGTGGCTGTCTAGAAGATGCTCTGAAATACTAGTTCAGCTTTAGGGGCAGCCAGTTATTTGGTGGCTTGTAAAAGTCTCATCCTGTCCTGGTAGTATTTTAGGTGTTTCTTGAATTTGAGTGAAGAGAGTGGCAAAAGGTATGCTCTGTGGTAGATAAGGCAAATAGAAAAAATGCCCAAAAAGAAGCAACTTTTGAGTGTGAGGAGAGCATTGTTAGAATTCATCATTCTAGTGAAAGAGCCCAGTGAGCTGTGAGACTCCAAGGCATTAGAATTTCGTTCCCCTCAGCTTTCCATTTGTGTTCTAGATAGTATTGCTTACCAGCCAAGGACTTCCAGGTGGTTCTTAAGTATCACTAGGATCATGCTGGTCAAGAATTAAGAGGCACCTCCAAGGCAAGTAAATAAAAAGCATGGTGAAAAACACTATCCTCTGCCTCTTCAGCTGTTCTTGATTGTGTCCTTTCTTATGCCTGGTTCAGCTCAAAGGATGATCCATTCCTTCTGTATGCCACACTGCACTCTGGAAATCACTGCAAGTTTATCACAAAAGACCTGATGCGGGACCACAAGGCCTGTCTGCCTGATGCCAAGACCCAACGCCTGTTTTTTAAGTGGCAGCAGGGACATCAGCTGGCAATTATAAATGGGTTTCCAGGATCAAAACTAACCTTTCAGGTAATGGTATCTGTTCTCTATGTAATATTAACAGAGTCAAGTACACAGTAAGAATGTGGCATAGAAAAAGAGTGTCAACTAATTAAAGGTTCTAAATGCTTTATTTTTCTCAATTTTAGGTTAGTATTTGGAACTAGCCAGTTCCTAGAAAGAGTCTACCAGGGCTGAAGTTTTCATAGGCCAACCCCAAATTAATTAAAACATTTAGGATGTCATCAACTGTGACTTCAATTATGTCATAAATTATGACTTCTTACATGTTTTTTATTTTTGTTTGTTTGCATTAGTTCAAATTCCTTATAGTTTGTTATACTTCTGCTAATTCATTTTTTCTGTTTAATTCATTTCTATGACAGTCTCAATTGACTTGTCCTTTGACTCTAGTTAAGATATCTATAAGGATGCATCTGGTGTGAAAGCAAAGGGAGAGAATCCAAAGTAAGTTATTACAGAAAAGTACACTGCCCCGTGGTATAATAAATATGTTTCAGTAATCAAAAAATATTGGTCAGGTGTGGTGGCTCGCGCCTATAATCCCAGTACTTTGAGAGGCCAAGATGAGTGAATCGCCTGAGGTCAGGAGTTGAAGATCAGCTTGGCCAACATGATGAAACCTCGTCTCTACTAAAAATACAAAAATCAGCCAGGCATGGCAGCATACATCTCTAATCTCAGCTACAAGGGAGGCTGAGGTACAAGAAGCAGTTGAACCTGGGAGGCAGAGGTTGCAGTGAGCTGAGATCATGCCAGTGCACTCCAGCCTGGGTGACAGAGCAAGAATCTGTCTTTAAGAAAAAACAAAAACAGGTTTGGGGGAGTGGGCAGATGTTGGTCAAAGGAGAATAAATTTCAGTTAGATAAGAAGAATAAGTTCCATGATGAGTATAGTTAATAACAATGTACTATATCCTTGAAAATTGCTAAGAGTAGATTTTAAGTGTTCTTACCACAAAAATTATAAGTATATAAAGTAATGCTCATGTTAATTAGCTCAATTTAACTATTCTACAATGTATACATGTTTCAGAAACATGCTGTATATGACAAATATATATAATTGTTATTTGTCAATTTAAAAATAAATAAGAATGGCTGGGTGAAGTGGCTCACTTGTGTAATCCCAGCACTTTGGGAGGCCGAAGCAGGAGGATTGCCTGAGCCCAGGAGTTTAAGACTAGCCTGGGTAACATGGTAAGACCCCATCTCTATAAAAGTAAATAAATAAGAATATCCAAAACAATAGGTTTATGGTAAATATGGTATCAAATGATACCATAGTGATGTAAGATAAAGTTGAAGAACTATTAATTCTTAAGTATAATAAAGGCATAAAGGTATTGATCTTACATTTGCAAAATAGAACCTTATTTCTTAGAGATACATACTGAAATAGAAGAAATTACCTATCGGGGGTGGGGGGCAGCGTATGGATGAAATAAGACTAGAGATGAATTGATAATGGCTGAAGCTAGGTGATGAGTACGTGGAAGCTCATTATACCATTTCTCTACTTTTGTAAACAGTTGTCCCTTGGTATCCGTGACTAATTGGTTTCAGGACCTCTCACAGATACTAAAATCCTCAAACGCTCAAGTCCCTTAAATAAAATGGCATAGTATTTGCATATAACCAACCTACACATATCCTCCCGTATACTTTGAATCATCTCTAGATTATTTATAATACCTAATACAAAGTAAATGCTATATAAATAGTTTCTGTATTGTTTAGGGAATAATGCCAAGAAAAGAAGTCTGTACATGTTCAGAACACGGCTTTTTTTTTCCCCCCAAATATTTTCCGTGGTTGTTTGCCAGGGATGCAGAACCTGCAGTTATGGAAGACTGACTGTATTTGAAACTTTTCACTTTCACACAAAACTGATAGAGGCAACAAAAGAACATCTGTATTACATAAGTGTAATACTTTTTTTTTTTTTGAGATGGAGTCTTGCTCTGTCACCCAGGCTGGAGTGCAATGGCACAATCTTAGCTCACTGCAACCTCCACCTCCCAGGTTCAAGCAGTTATCCTGCTTCAGCCTTCTAAGTAGCTGGGATTACAGGAACATGCCACTACATCCAACTAATTTTTGTATTTTTAGTAGAGGCAGGGTTTCACCATGTTGGCCAGGCTGGTCTCAAAGTCATGACCTCAGGTGATGTGCCTGCCTCAGCCTTTCTTGTAGCTGGGATTACAGGCGTGAGCCACTGCACCTGCTTGTAATACTTCTATAGAGGGTCTTTAGACTTAAAAATGAACCCCCCCGCCGCCAGAAAAACAAACTCCTGGCCGGGCACAGTGGCTCACGCCTGTAATCCTAGCACTTTGGGAGCCCCAGGTGGGTGGATCACCTGAGGGCAGGAGTTCAAGACCAGCCTGGCCATCATGGTGAAACCCCATCTTTAAAAAAAAACAAAAACAACTCCTAATATTAGGGCTCATCTTCACAATGGTAGCCTCTCTTTGAAAATCCATTATTAAGTAAGAAAATTCATTATTAATACTCTTCTGAAGCAAACTTGACAAGTGTCAGAAAGCGAAATGGCCAGGTAGCCCTTTAGTGTTATTCTCAATGTTTTGTTCTCTTTTTAATTCAACAGCGTATTCTCAGCTATGACACAGTGGTGCAAACAACTGGAGACTCGTGGCACATACCATATGATGAAGACCTGGTAGAAAGATATTCCTATGAAGTACCAACCAAATGGCTTTGCCTCCACCGAAAGACATAAAGACTCTTACCTCTGCTGAGTTTGTGTTTGGGTACCCTCTTGGCTGGCGTAAGAGGCTCTTGAGTTGATGTTTGTTTAGGGCATTGCCTCTGTCCTGAAGATAAAAGGATTCTATTAACAGTGATGAAGTTGGTTTTATAATGAAATGAGATGTAATATGTTTTCATAATCAGCTGTATTTTTTTCCCTAACATTTCTTTTTGGAAGCTTATCTAGAGTTGGAGAACTCGGTGCAGAGTGAATCCTCCATTTCTCCTACTAGGCCAGCTATTCACAAGTAGTGCTTTTGGTATCCATTTTGCTACTTCTGACCTTGCCTTCCAGGCCTACCGATAGCGGAACCAATCCATCTGTCCCTGGGCTACTCATGTTTCAAATCCCTTCTCCCATTTCTGACATAGTCTCATTTTCTGTATGTTATGCTCTATTCACATGGAATCATTTATGGTCCTCTGTAATTAAACTGGCCAAGATACTAAAGGCTTACTATTAATTGCAGTTTTTAATTACTTATCCAGTGATTTAGATTGGAGAAGAGGGGCATTCACTCCTCTTTTTCTTATTTATTTGGAAATAGAGTCTCAGCTTACTCTGTCACCCGGACTGGAGTACAGTGATGCAGTCACAGCTCACTGCAGCCTCAAACTCCCAGGCTCAAACAATCCTCCTACCTCAGCCCTCCTGAGTAGTTGGGACTACAGGCATGTACCACCAGGCTTGTTTTTTTTTTTTGTTTTGTTTGTTTGTTTTTTTGTAGAGATGGCAGTCTAACTACATTGACAAGATTGGTCTCCAACCCCTGGCCTCATTCAATCCCCAGCATGTTGGGAGGTTGAGATGGGAGGATCACTTGAATCTAGGAGTTCAAGACCAGCCTAGGCAACATAGTGAGATCTCATTTCTACAGAAAATGTAAAAATTAGCCAGCATGGTAGTGTGCACACATATTCCCAGCTACTTGGGACACTGAGGTGGGAGGATTGCCTGAGCCTCAGAGGTCAAAGCTGCAATGAACCAATGTTGCACCACTACACTCTAGCCTGGGTGACAAAGCGAGACCCTGTTTCAAAACAAAACAAAATGCTGGGATTACAGGCTTGAGCCACAGTGCTGAGCCTCACTTCTCTTTAGACTGTGATGGTTTTTATGTCATTCTATAATCCCTTTTCCCAATTGGTTCAACATTTTGTGAACCCTATTAATTTCATCATTCAGTATATGTGTGCTTTCTAAAATAGGCATTTTTTTTCCACTCAATCAAGTTTGACTTAGTGTAACAAAGTGATTATTTTTTAATAGTTGCATTTCTGTTTTGTCCACTCACTAGCTAGCTTACACTTTATTAGCCTTTGATTTTGGCTGAAAATATTCATGTCTTCACTCCTTTATGATAGTTCTTTCTTTACCTGTACATACTGTATGATTCAATATTCAAGAACAAGCAAAACCTATTCTATTGTGATAAAAATCAGAATAGTAGTTTCCTGCAAAAAGGAATACAAGAGAACTTTCTAGGGGTGATGGAAAGTTTCTTATATTGATTTGGGTAATAGTAACATAGCTATATGTATATATTAGTTAAAATTCCTCCCATTACACATTTTAAATTGATACATTTACATTTATGACAATATACCTAAAAAAGGACTTTAGGGTAAAAAAAGGTAATTGTTTTCATGAAATAAACAATGACCTCATCTACATCAAACCATATACATGTACATAAATAGGGTAAGTATTATGCACAGAGAAACAATTCAGGAAAATCCAAGGAGGGGACGTTTCATCGTCTTACCCATTTACTGAATTCAACATGACTGCACACCAAGACAAAAGAGCTTTCCAGGAAAACATAGGATATATCGAGAGCATTATAAGATATTGAGAAAGCTCTCATAGATTCAGCCTGCTTGTTTTCCAAATTTCATAAACTATCTACTTAGAAAACTGTGCCTTCAGCAAACTAAACTTCTTTTTTAAGGAACTATCATAGTTTTAAGAAAACCTTTTAAGAAGACAAAAAGTATTGATTAAGCCCATCTAAAGGCCTAATGCAAACTCCCAACGTAGAACACATAGAGATAGAGGAGGAGGCCGTCATGGTGGCTCAAGTATGTTAATTCTAGTACTTTGGGAGGCCGAGACAGGAGGATCACTTTAGGCCCAGAGTTGGAGACCAGCCTGGGCAACATAGTAAGATCCTGTCTCTCTCTATTAAAAAAAAAAAAATGAGAGAAGATACAGGAAGAAACCTAGAACTTTTTTTTTTAGATGAAGTTTCGCTCTTTGTTCCCCAGGCTGGAGTGCAGTAGCATGATCTCAGCTCACTGCAACCTCCGCCTCCCAGGATCAAGTGATTTTCCTGTCTCTGCCTCCTGAGTAGCTGGGATTACAGGCGCCCACCACCACACCCGGCTAATTTTTGTGTTTTTAATAGAGACGGGGTTTCACCGCGTTGTCCGGGCTGGTCTCGAACTGCTGACCTCAGGTGATCTGCCCACCCCGGCCTCCCACAGTGCTGGGATTTACAGGTGTGAGCCACCGCGCCCAGCCACAAAATCCAAACTTCTGCTTGAGATAAACTGAGGTGCATCTGTCCCCTGTCCAGGAGTGAGAACATTGTGGGGTTACTCAGAGTAAGTCGCGCTGCCACAGTGACCTTGGAGAGTGCAGGGATTCTCTGAAGGAAGCAGCTGGTACCAGACACTTAGGCTGCCCATTAGTGTTCTGATCACTTGAGTGAAAAACAGCTACCTATCAAGCAAACTCCTGGACACAGCGAGAAGAAGGAATTCTTTTAAAAGCTGTGCTCTTAAATTGTTAGTAACTTTAAAATCAGTTGTGAACAATGAAGGATTTGAAAGAACATTGACTTTGCCACCTAACAGTATTTCTAAAGTACTTCGTGCTTCCCCCTGGCATTCTGAATTTATACTATCTTTTCCTCCTGCTGTTCTCAGACCCAGTGAAAAGAAAATCTCAAGGGTGAAGGCTGAGTTTATTCTCTCAGGGCTCTGTTGGGACTACCTCAATTGAGGTGGATTGCTCTTCATATGAAATATTTTTTTTCCTCAAGTCTGCACTTAAATGTAATTATTGCCTCCTTGGTTCTCTAGCAGATTTGCAGATTTCTCACTCTTTTTTTAGATAGAGTCTTGACCTTTCATCCAGGCTGGAGTACTATGGTATGATCTCAGCTCACTGCAACCTCCACCTTCTGGGTTCAAGCGATTCTCCTGCCACAGAATCCTGAGTAGCTAGGATTACAGGTGCCCACCATGTCTGGCTAATTTTTTTTTTCTTTTTTGGAGAAACAGGGTTTCACCATGTTGGCCAGGCTGGTCTCGAACCCCTGACCTCAGGTGATCCACCCACCTTAGCCTCCTAAAGTGCTGGGATTACAGGCCAGAGGCACCATGCCCAGCCGATTTCTCACTTTTTAAAAACTGTCCTAAGGTACTGTAAAATGCATTCTTTTGGTCATGTGTGGTGGCTCATTCCTATAATCCCAGCACTTTGAAAGGCTGAGGTGAGCAGATCTCCTGAGCCTAGGAATTTGAGACCAGCCTGAGCAACATGGGGAGACTTTCTCTACAAATGATTAAAAAATTAGCCAGGTGTCATGGCGCAAGCGTGTAGTCCCAGCTACTTGGGAGGCTGAGGTGAGAGGATTGCTTAAGCCTAGGTGGCTAAGGCTGCAGTGAGCCGTGATCATGCCACTGCACTCCAGCAACAGAGTGAGACCCTGTCTCAAAAACAAAAATCAAACAAGAAAAAAGACTATACTACACATACAACTTGTTCACATTAGAGCTCTTCTTCCCTGATAGCTTCATTCTAAACTGGAATGGAAAGGAAGGGTGTATTATATAGGCACCTGAATTCTGGTTCATCACAGCCTTACCTTCATTTGCTAAATGTCAAAATTATTGGGGTACTTGGGGGCAAAGCTAAATGAAGTCCATATCTGGTATTTTGCCCATCCTTCATAATTAAGAATTAACAGAGTGAAAAATGCCTAAAGAAGCCTTTGTGGGAATGACTTGGAGTATGGGAACATAGACCACTGGGATGAAATGTCTGTATTTTGATTTGGGCATTCTTTCAAGCAGGGAACTTAAGCAGATAGAATTTTCAGTAATAGTGACCAGGCAGCTGCTGGAGCTTCCTGTAGCCTATAAGGAAGGAATAAGGTTGCCAAATAAAATACAGGACTCCAAGTTAAATTTGAATTTCAGATAGATAACAGAACTTTTTAGTTTAAGCATATCCCAAGTATTGCAGGGACATATACGGAAAATATTCATCATCTATCTGAAATTCACATTCAGGTCTGGCGCTATGTCTCAGGCCTATAATCCCAACACTTTGGGAGACTGAAGCAGGCAGCTTGCAGCCAGGAGTTCAAAGCCAGCCTGGTCAACATAAAGAGACCTCATCTCTACAAAAACTTTTTTAAAAAATTAGCCAGCATGGTGGTACATGCTTGTAGTCCCAGCTACTCAGGAGGCTGAGGCAGGAGGATCATTTAAGCCACGAGTTTGAAGTTGCAGTGAGGTATGTTTGTGCCACTGCACTCCAGCATGGGTGACAAATCAACACGTAGCCTCAAAAAAATAAAAAATATTGAAATTCGCATTTAACTGGACATTCTGTATTTTATTTACGAAATTTGGCAATCCAAGGTGGGAATTACATGGGAGGATGAGGGGTAGTGGGAAATGAGGCATTTCTCTTTTTGTTTTTTGTTTTAAACCACTTTTTTTTTTAATTGTTTAATGCTTCATTTTTAGAGTTTTTAATATCAGTCATTACATTTACATTCTATGAGCAAAATTTTTCCAGAACAGTGTAGAATAGTTCTGAATTATGGTATTGTACAGATAGAAAAAAGTTTACCTCTTACTCCACCCAACATGTTTGCAAAGCAGGAATTCTTTGTACAAAATCCTTCAATTCTATAGCAGAGGAAATAAGATCCCCTGGAAGCCCAAGGGCTCCCCTTCACATTGCTAGTTCATGACAGACCCAGCTGTGCTTTGTTAGAGATAAAATGCATTCCCTTTGATATCATGGGAAGTTACTGGGGATGACTTGGCCTCATTACTTAGCTAATGAGTGGATACAATTTCTTAATTATTTAAAGTAACATTGTATTTGTGTTTGCATTTTTAATTTGAATAGAAAATAATCCATTTTCAACCCATTTATTCAAATTTTTAATGTTTCTTTAGAGCTGTGTAACCATAGTTTAAACTAGCAAGGAAGTCATTGTTTTGACAACTAGAAATTATGCTTTTCTGATGCACATAGTATTAATTGTGAAGGGCAGTCACATCCAACTTTAATAAAATATGGTGGTCTTTCTTTTTCTTTTTAATATATATTTTATTGTACTTTAGGTTCTGGTGTTTTTTGTATTTTTTTTTAGACAGAGTTTCACTCTTGTTGCCCAGGCTGGAGTGCAATGGTGCAATCTTGGCTCACTGCAAC